TGGAAGTGCCCCCTCTCCTCACAAAGGAATGCCAGCCAACTTTTGATTGGATAGTTTTTATGTTTTCATTTACTCCTCAGATACCTTTTGACTCTGTGCCATAGACAAGGCACTATGGGAACTACCAGGATGAACTGGGAAGTTCACAGTCTAGTAAATAAAATCTTCTGTTTCTTGGCCCTAGCAGACAAAGAGTTAAATTAAAGACATTAATTAGTTGCCTGTAACAGACTGAAGGACTAAGCTGAGACCATTCCTCGCCTTCCTGATTGTCATTCTTGTCCTCACCCTTACTTTCTGTGGCTTTCTTTTATGCTCCAGAAAAGCCAGAGGATCCATGTATAAGTTTAGGGGAAGATGCTCAGCTCTCAGCAGGCCTGCGGGGCATTTCTTCATCTGGCTAGCAAGGTGCTTATGCCTTACATCTCAAACTTGAACCTGGAATTCTCTTAATTCAATTATTTCCACATTATTCTCTCATTTTCTCTCTCATAAGCATTCATACAGCAAAAGTTATTTAATTTAATTCACTCCAAGAGTTATTTAATAACATTTTGGATTAACTATGATTACTTTTTTTCCTTGAATGTTGAACTTTGTACGTTTTATCATTTTTTTGGTAAATAGAGGTACAAGTGTCAGTGATTAACTAAGCCTACCAAAATATGATTGATTTGAATCCATGTTACTTAAAGATGTGAGAAAGAAGAGAATTGTAAATTATTAAATGTCAGAACTGAAAAGTATTAAGATCTTTTACTCCTTCATTTTATACCTGAGGAAATCGAGGCTCAAAAGGTGAATGAGATGTGTGAGTAAATGTGCAAACTTAGACTATTTTAAAATTTGCACAGTGGGAGCTTTCATATTTTCTGACAGTTGGTGGTAATATTGCAGAAGAATCTTTTTTTTAACCGCTAGGGAATGCTGAAATATCAACTGATCAACTGTAATGGGGAAAAAAAATCAGTCTTAAGTTTTCTGATTATTACATCTTTTCTGTTTAGCAAACTCAAATGACCTATATGATAGTCTGTAAGGACTCGAGGGAAAGGAGGTAGATGCTGGGGACACTATTTTAGATTTATTGCAAGTCACACCATTTCAAGATGATGGTAAGTCAGATATTTGTTGTAGATAAGCAAATTTTGTTCTCCCCTCCTAGCTATGCAGGGCACGAGAGTGTACCCGAAAATCTGCCTCCCTGGTTAGGTAAGCAAAGCTGTCTGTGTTCGTGGAAGATGCTGGGCCATAACGCATCTTGTGGTTATTTAGTTTAAAGAGAGTGATATTGCACTGATTCTGCCTTTGGGAAACTGTCCAGTCCCTGAGCCCCACAGGCTGTACGGCAGGCCAGTAGTAGGGGTGGAGGACTTCTTGAGCAGACCCATCATGAGATTTGGCTGGGAAATTGGACTTGGGATTCTTCTGTCCTCGCCCTCTTTTTATCCCTGTCCCTGTCTTTACACTGCTGTTAAAAAAAAATTGAACTTATAAAATTTCAGTTTTGACTCTTTTTCTTTTCAGGGTATTTTTAAAAGGGAATTTTACATCAATTTCCCAAAGTGGTGGTGGTGGTGGTGTTTTTCGGTCTCTCTTGTGTAGGGTCTTTTTTGGATTACAACCAGAGAATGAGGTGTCTTTCCAGCCAGGTGTTCCAGGTGCTATACAAACCATGTATATTCTCTGTATAGTCAAAGTACTATATAGATTTATAAAATCGAGCCTACTGATGATCTCATTCGAATCCTTGGTATGTTTTCTTTAGCTTATACGACCTGCCAAAGTCTGAAAGTGTTAAAATACTATACTATGATCAGATTTTATCATATCCCCTTATTTTTAGAAGTTTTAGCTCTAGATATCTGGTGGCTGTATTGCTTGTCCTTATCATTTTTATTTAAAGAAATAGAATTGAACAAATGGAGAGAGACATACTATCCAACTGAATGGGCAGACTTACCATCATATAAATGACAATTCTTCCAAAATTATATGGAAATTTAATGACATTCTGATCAGAAATCCAACACTTTTGTGGGTGTGGGAGGGGGCACTGGTTAGAATTACCTAAAAAAGGTTAAAAGAATACTTAGTTAGGGGTGGGGAATTTTCCTTATCATATGTTAATATTACCATAATGCTACAGTGATGAAGACATTGTGATATAGAAAATATAGAATTAAATCAGTTGACTGGAATTAACAGATTCTAGTATTATGAGAAATTAATATATGATAAAGGCTGAATTTCATTACACCGGAAAAAGGAATGTTTATTTGATAAATGGTTGTTAGCATAAATGGCTGTTTCAAAGAGACCAAAATTAAGGCTTTACACATACATTTCTCTGGGTGAAAGATTTAAATGTAAAATACAATGATACTGGAAGATATTTTAGAACACTGTGTCATTTTGGGGTAGGAAAGATCTTCGCAGACAAGACAGGAAATGCAGAAGAGATAAAGGAAAATATTGACATTTAACTACATGAAATTTAAAATTTCTTTTTGGCAGAATACACCCTAACACATATCAAAATACTTAATCACACATATAACAGTCAAAAAATGGATACCCTTAATCTTTGAATAGGGAAATAGACAATCCAATGGAAAAATGGACAAGAATGTAGACAGGCAATTCACAGAAGAGAAAATGCACATTGTCCCAAAACCCATTAAAATGATGCCTGTACTAGTAGACAAGAGGAACAAATCAAAATAACAGTGAGAAAAAAGTTTCCACCTATCCAATGGGCAAAATATAAAAGGATCTGGACACATCAGATGCTGTGTTCTGGAGAAGCAGACACCTCATACACTGTGGTGGGGGGTGTGTGGACTGGTATGGCATTTTCCGGTTCACGTTCTTTGACTTGGCAGTCTCACAGTTAGGTCTGCCCTATAAAAATAAAAGCACCAGTATTTATGTGTACAAGGATATTTATTTTGACATGTTATTCTTACGGTAAGAAATTAAAAAATATCGATATGTTTGATAATAGGGAAAGGGCTGAATAATTTGTAGTACATTTGTACTATGCAATGTTTGGTATCTGTTAATAAGGATGCCTTGGGTTATGTGTATTGATTAGGAATAATCTTTATAATAGATGAATTAGAAAAGGAACAAATTTCAGAGAGGTGTTAATAGCATGATCACATTAAAATATGGGTATAGAGAAAGATTTGGGAGGGTGGACACACACACAGATGTTATTATTGATTATCTTAGGTGAATAGGATTGAGAGAAGGGTGGCAATGAGGAAACGGATTTTTAAAATATATAGACCTTTGCACTTTTCTGTCTTGTTGGCATAAGTTCAAAACATTACTATTTATTTAAACCCATAACTCACACTTAACTTATCTAATGTCTTATGACTTGCCATGAAGCCTGGCGTTGGCCTGTTGGCTGGCCTTTTAAGAAGGCGTGCTGGGCCTCTGAGGGGAGAGCCCTGACTTCCGCTCCCTGGCCTGTATGACTTTCTGGTTCCTTTATCTGTCCCTCTCATTTCTGTGATTCATCATTTCAGCCATTTTCTGGCCAATATGCTATTTCTTTGCCCCTTTATATTTCATTCGTGCTAGACCAGGTTGATAATCAGTGGAGAAAAAGCACAGTTGTTCCATTAGTGTCCTGTAAGTGTGTGGTCTTCCAGCTTCCCATGATCCCTTTAAGACGGCTCTGCAGCCCTTCTGTTTTCCGTCGTTACCTCTGACCTTAAATGCAAGTGGTATTTCAGACAACCCCCTTCCTCAAACTTCTCGCACTGCCATCTCTTCTCTAGAGCAGCACAGAGCTCAAAACTCTGTAGGGAAAATGGAAACTCCATAAACTACTTGCCGCTGAACATGCAGACTTAACCCTCGTCTTGTGCCAAGGCTGACTGGCCACCTGTGCTGGGGCTGCCAGCCCTTCTGGTCTCCTGGGAGGCTGGGAGGGATGCGGAGGGGGTGTGTGCTCGGTGCATGGATTAGCCCAGCCATCTCCTGTATCTCCCCCATGTTTCCTCATTTATACATCCCCAGGAGTAAGTAGCACGGCCTAGAATACCTGTGTCTGATTCCTTGTTACCTCCCTGGCTTGTCTATGTTCTGCGCATGCTTGTGTAGAGAGAAAGAAGGATATTTGGGTAAAATCAGGAGAAAACAGCATGAGCTAAAGAGAGTAATCTCAAGAGTAAAGATGAAAGAAATGATGGAACAGACCTAAAACAGCCTTTCTTTCCCCTATCCAGATGCCTCTGGCCAGGGTGGGAGGAAAGTGGGAGACCCGTATTACTCTTACCTAAGCAAATGAAGGTTTAGTTGTTAGGATGGCCAAACTACAGCGTTGTGATTTCTTAGCTAGAGTTAGAAGCCTGGTGGTCATATTTTGATATTTGTGTTCTTTTACAAGTTTTTAGAAACAGATGAAAGATAAAACTTTGTAAACTAGTGTTCTCCAAGCATGTTCTATAGGAAAGTAGCTTGGGATGGGGCTTGGGAAATACTGAATTAATTAACTCTTAAATGTGCTGGCTTGCTTTTTGAATTTCCAAGTATGGTGTTTTCTGTCTTTATGACCACAAAGCCTTTTTCTGCACTTCTCTCGTCTTTCCTGAATGTATATCATGTGTCCCTAGAAAAATAGTTTGAGAATTGCTAGAGGATACAAATAAATATGTGGCACTAAAAAATAAAAAAACGAGAGAGAAAGAAAAAGATCAGGTTGCATGATGCCTGGTAACATGACTAGTCACAATTTTTTATTCCCCGTCTCTGTGGTTTTTTTTTTGTACATTTTGAATATGGAAGTTGACTTTTTAAAAATGAAACTTATTTTGACTAATAATACTATAGATACTTATTTTGTAAATAAGCATAGTAGAGTTCTAGCGTGGCTAACACTTTGTGTAGAACTGGAAGTTTATCTTATTATATTATTTCAAGGTTTCATTAGGATTGACCTGGATTTTTGTTATTTGAGTTATGGTTTTTATCTTCTTTTCCAGCGGCAGCCGATTAGGAGGACTGGTTACAGTGCTGTGCTTCTTTTTCAATCATGGAGAGGTAGGTAGTCAACAAATACTTTCAAAATCTTTAGGGGATTGGGGCGCCTGAGTGGCTCAGTTGTTAAGTGGCTGCCTTCGGCTCAGGTCATGATCCCGGAGTCCTGGGATCGAGCCCTGCATTGGGATCCCTGCTCTGTGGGAAGCCTGCTTCTCCCTCTCTCCCACTCCCGCTGTTTGTGTTCCCTCTCTCGCTGTGTCTCTCTCTGTCAAATAAATAACTAAAATCTTAAAAAAAAAAAAAAAATCTTTAGGGGATTGTACTTTTAGAAATACAAGTTTCTTCTTTAAGTAGTCAGTCAAATATTTTAAAACATTCTAGGAGATTTTACTTCCAGAACTACAGGTTTCTTTTTAAAATTCAATTTCTTTAAATTTAGTCTATAGTAGCATTCTTTAAATGTTTGGTCTTATTTTCATTCAAGTTTTACATTAGCATTTATTTTAAGTTAACTTTTCATGAACATTATTATCTTTTCTGTGATATATCTCAGTGATTTGATGTAATAGTGGGTCTGCGTCAATTCTTTATATAATTTAAAAGTTCGAAAGTTTAGCTAAAATAGAAATAAGTCAACCATGGATAAAGTTAATTTCCTTGTGTGGGGATAACTTTTTGTTGTAGGAGCCATAGAGTGTGTTTCTATTTTAACGCATCTTATTAAACTTGGATGTATTTTTAAGTCTCCTTTGCAGAATATTATATTATACCTGTAAACTTGCACATATCCAAGGGTTTTCTAAAGAGAACACTAGCGTAAAAAGTATTGACTCTGGATCCAAGCTACCTGTGTTCAAATCCTGGCTTTGCCGTTTAACAGCTCCGAGACCTGAGCAAATCATTAATCTCACCTGCCTTAGTTTCCCCTTTGTAAATGGGTGTAATAATGGTACTTATCTCATGGGATTATTGGCGAGTTTAAATGAATTCATAAGTGTAAAGTGCCTGGAGCAATGTTTGGCACATAGTCTAATTGGTACTTGGTATCCCTTTTTCTTAGGAGAGTTATTTTAATCATGCCAGTGAATGGTTTATGTCCCAGAAAATAGTTGTGAATTGTGATTTGCTTTTAAGTTATGTAACTGTTACTTTGTATTATTATTATTAATAACTTAGTTTAGATTAAATTCTAATAGAAATTCAGGATGCCACTGAAATCCTTCCACTAAATCAATTGTAGTTGTAAATGAATTTTTATTAATAACATCTCTACCTGGTTTTCTTTCATGGTAAATCCTGTATGAGAGAAAGAGAAGAAAGGTCAGCTTGTTTTGAATGAAGTAACTTAATCCTTTTATGCATTTATAAACTCAGTGTGTATAATATATTGAATATGCACATGTTATAAAGCCCTAAGAGTAATCATACTAAAACTTAACTATAGAGTCAAGGTTGAACTTTTTTTTATTGTTCGGTGGATTACTAATGGATGTTGAACTAACACATGCTTAGTATTTAGAATCACAGAAATTTAAAGCCAGAGTGGCCTTACAGATTAGAGCCTTTGAGAAAAATCATTGCAATATGGTTTGGTTTGCTTTTGAGGAAAAAAAAAAAAATTTTTTTTTTTTTGCCTCTTCTTGACTGTGGATGCTTCTGAATGTCATAGTGTGGACCACAGAACATGTGGAGGCACAGATCCTGTGAGAATGACCTAAGAAATCGGAAGTGACTACTTAACAGTGAAGGAAAGGAGCATTGAGTGTTCATAATAAGAAGTTGGAGGAAAGAGATTAGAAAAATTTGAAGCCAAGGTGCAGTTTTAAAGACGGCTCTCTGTTAAGCAGAAAGGTCTACTGTATTACCCTCAGTCTAAATTAAAGGTTGTCAATTCCTGATCTTATGTTTTTCTTATAATTTTGATACTCATGTAGCATGAACATCATTCCTTACAAAGTCTTTTCAGTTCATACTAATGAAATTTGGACTATTCAGTTCATTTTTCAGGTTGAAAGTCTTTTTTTTTTTTAAATACCTCTCACCTACTTAGTGTGTTTAAACATGCTTAGACATCACTTTCTACTGAGGAAAGGGTAGACTAAATGTGATTAGAATTAGAATTGCAGTTTTTCCGAAATGGTCAAGTAGATAATTGTACTTTATATCAGCAACTTAGCTTTCGAGTAGAAAAGTGACCATTTTGAGTAACGACATTAAAATTGAGGGAATAAACTGTAGTTTTGGGTAAAATAAGGGTGAGAACTTAAGTAACTAAAACCATTTTATTATAATTTAATAATCGTTTTGGTTTTCAGACTATGAGATTGTCAGACCCAATTATTTTCTGAATTTTAAAAACGTTGCCCAAAGCATATAATTTTTATATGAGGGAAGCATCTACTCTGGTAGTACCCATTCACACATTTAGTGAACTTTTTTAGAGCATCACAATGTGTACTCACTGAAATTGCTGGTGGGTTACTAATTGGTACTTGGTATCCCTTTTTCTTAGGAGAGTTATTTTAATCATGCCAGTGAGTGGTTTATGTACCAGAAAATAGTTGTGAATTGTTGCTTGCTTTTAAGTTCTATTTCCATTATTCAGTTTGCTCTCTATTTGAGTCTAAGGTAGAATATAATGTACTTTTGAAAATATTCTTTCACTCAGTTGGTTTTACAAGGGAAAATTTTGGCCTCAACAAAAGAACTATAAGATGTGTGGTAGAAAAGGATTAATCAAATGATTTAAAACAGAAGTTGAAAACCTTTAAATCTGGAACCTGTGAGGATGCAATATAATTGCTCATAGTAATGATCAATAATATTGAGGTTATATATTTCATAATAAAAATTATGTCAATGTTTTCACTCATCAAGCTTTTTTATTAAATGTTGATTCTGTCCCTATTGAGAATTATTGCTAAGAGGAAAGCTAACAGTTTTACTCTGCCTTTGAAATCCTTCCTTATTATACGATCAGATGTGTGCACCTATGGCTTGATGCTGCAGGATTTTTCGCATGCTGACTGAAAAGCATTTAGAAGAGTATATGAAAAAAATGAAATATAGTATTTTTCTTTAATTTTTGACTGTTAAAAATTCATTATATGTGAAGTTATTTGTTTAACTTTTTCATGATGAGATTTTTTAAAAGTTATTACCCAGCATGATTAGTGGTGTTTTATATAAAACATGCGCACAGATAAAAAGATAGTCACATTTATGAGGAGGAAAGTCCCCCCCCTTTTTTTTTGAAACTAAAGTAAGTAAATCAAAATAGTATATGAAAGATTTGCCTTAGAGGCATATCTAATTAACATTTTTTTATTACCCACAACATATTTCTGACCCATATTAGTTTCTTAAATATTTTTGAGCTGAACTGAGATAATGTACATATAAATGTCTGTGTTCCTAATTAGTTTTTGACATAGTTATGTTATTTATGTAAGATTTGGAAAACTATTCTTAGAACACTTTGAGAACAGTCTCATTAATCCTTAGAATGCTCTTGTATGATAGATAAGTAGTAAATAATAATATTCCAGTTTGCATAATAATTGGAAACACTAAAAGGTTAAGTGTTTGGCTCAAGGTTGTGAAGCAGGGATAGGATTCTAAGTTTCGATTAACCAGTAATCTCTCCAAACTTCTCTCAACACAGACAGCTCTTAGATAGGGGAGTAGGATTTCAAAGATAATAGCACAGTTTATCTTGTACAAGTACAAAGTACAGAGATCTTTCCTTGCTAATTTGTGAAACTTGTTCTCTTCCCTTTCTCTCTGTCTCTCTTCCTTTCTTCTTCTTCCCTCCCTCCCTTCTTGCCTTTCTTTCAGCCCTTTCTTATGAGGGTCACATTTTGGCCAGGACACTTATTCTGGGTCTTCTTTTTATTCAACTCAATTAAGACAATGTATACAGAGGGCTCACTGTATGCCAAGTACTTGTAGATGCTGAGGATATGTTGATATGTCAGTAAAACAAAGATCCCTCTCCTTGTGGATAATTGTGAAGGTGGGACCACTTCTACCTAAGGTGGGGGAATACTGGCTTATTTGGGGAGCAGCAAGCAGACCATTGTGACAGGAGCAGAGAGTGAAAGGTGGGATGTGGAAGGAGCCTTTTCTGCAGTCCCTGTTGGTCATTGTAAGGTTCATTTGGAGAAGGTGGAAAGGCCATTGGAGAGTTACATGCAGAAGAGTGATGCGGCTTAAATTTTTTTTTACATTAATTTGGAAAATAGTATGAGTGCAAGATGCATTATTTATTCAGACTATTGAGAGATGTGCTTATGGATTTGTGAATTTACATTAAACTTGCATTAACTCCAAAAGCCCCCCTCCCCCCAAAAGAATGTGCTGATCTTAGATGGGAATGTATCTATTGCTTACATGAAAACTGCCTATACTGTAGTAGAACTGGCCTTCAGCCCCCTTCAAGACCTGGGCCCTGCTGGGTCTCACTGTCCAGGCTGTTTTCTTTGCTTCAGTCCCACCGTCCCTTCTTCTCTAGTTTCCAGAGGGGACTACTCCTTTTCCCGCCTCAGGGCTTTGGTACATAGTTTCCTATGCCCTGTATAATTCCTTCCTTTTTTATCTCCTAGTCATCCTTCACATCTGGATATTTGTTTGGGTTTCAGTGATATTTTTCATCCTACAGATCTGGGTTTCCATCTGGTATAATTTCTCTTTGGTCTTAAGAACTTTATTTAGCATTGTGGTGAAGATCTGGTGCCAACAAGGTCTCTTAGCTTTTGCCTGTCTAAAAATGTCTGTATTTTGCCTTCATTTTTTGAAGTGTATTTTTGCTGGATAAGAATTCTAGGTTGGTAGCTTTACCTTTCAGCGCTTTAAATGTCATTCAGTTGTCTCACTGAACATCTTTGTTCCATGGGTTGATTTTTTTTTTTTTTATGAGTTTTAGAAAATTTTTAGCCATTGTCTTCTCTTTAAATATTTTGTTTTTCCCATTTTCTCTCTTTTTTGAAGATTCTAATTCCGTGTTGGCCACAAATCTTTTTGGAAAGCATTCGTAAGTGCAAGGTTTAACACAATATTATAGTTAACATTAAGCAATATAAAGCAGTATTATAACTAATGAGGCTGTGTAGCTTTCAGAAGTGGGGTAATTTGTTTTAAACCTAAACATTATCCCAACAACAATTTATGACTGATCCTGCAAATATCAGCTCTAGTCAAAACTCTTGGAACAAGCCTTAAATATGATCTGTTTGATGCTACCTATAATTTATAATTCAGTAGTTAGTCGTACTCCTATTTCGTTTTACATTATGAAGAGAAGTATATTAGGTGATAGATTTCTAATAGTATAAGTGAGCTATTTTGAAAGTAGAGCTTGACACATGAAGCTGCCTATTACTAAAATTCCTTGGTTTTTGATTCTTGAGTAAATGATTTAAAATTCAGGCTTTCCTAAGCAGACAGAAGGAGCTTGTTCTTGTCAATACCTAAGCAGTATTATGCTGCAGCATTATTCAGTGCTTTGAAATGTGTGCTAAAAATTATGTACTTTAAGAGGACACTTTAAATAAAGTGAGATTTTCATTGAGTTCATTTTCACAATTCAGGAATGTCTTGTATTTTGTCTGAGTGCTTCATACAGTGGTGTAACCCCTTGTGAAGGAGTTCGCACATTTATTCCCTTCTTTAATTCCTAAATTTGAGGACAGTGCCTTTAGAAGGCATTGGCGTTTTGAACTGTCAACCTATTATAATTAAAGAAAAATATTTATTTGTTGAAACTTAAGGTATGATTAAAGCAAATCTGTTTACTGTTTTCAAATTACATGGGGTCATCTGGACCAGCAATTATGTTTATAGCAGCTCAAGTAAAGCACATTGTGTTATTGGAGAAACAATAGGAAGCATTTTCACGTATTTGCGTTCATTCACCCTTAACATTGTAGAGGCAAAAGATCTTGCTCTTTGTTTCAATTCTGTAATTTAGCCTTCTCATCCAGCTTTACAAAGGATGTAATTGAGTTTGAGAGAATTGAGTGCCTTCAGCTATTAAAGGAAAGAAATTTCTAAGAGATGGCACAATAGTTAAAATTGGATAACAAAATAAGTGTGAGTAAACAGTCTGTATGAAGAAATTCTCAAATTGTACACTACATTGTTTAACTATTTTCTTCTTGGTTTTTGCGCAGAGATTGATAACTTTATAAATTGTGGTTATATATCTCTACTATCAATCATATTGAAATTTCTAGTTAATTTCGTGAACTAACAGATTTTTAAAGTTGTATTCCAATAACAACAAATATACATTTTAAAAAAGACTTTTTCAATCTTTTCAGAATTCTCTTGTGTGTATAGTTCATTTATAAATAGGTATCTATGTTAAATCTCATAGAGGATAGTGAATTTTGGTTAAAAAGAGAAATAAATTGGCTCAAACTTTTGTAGCAATAGTAGAAAGATCTAACAGTCTGAGGTAGAGCTAAAATAAAGGAAAGGCTTATTTCCACTGTGGTCTTTGTAATTTCATATAGTCTTTAACTGCTTGACTTGAAAGATGTAATGATTTCTTCTAGTGTGACTAGTTTAGTCGGGGTAATTAATATCAGATTATTTATATTTCATCCAATGCAGTGTCCTTTAATTGAAAGATAGACTTATTAATTTATTTAGTATAGATGCAGAAAAATGGGAGTGCTAAAACTGGGATGGAATATTATTTTTTTAAAGATTTTATTTATCTTAGAGCATGCACGCGCAAGCAGGGGGAGGGGTGGGGGGGAGAGAGAGAGAGAGAATGGGATGGAACATTACTTAATTAAGTCCGAAGTGAGTTCTTCAGTAGAATTGGTACATGTCATTTTAGGACTTTTGTTATTTTTCTTTGATACCTCTTCCCCTTTTAAATTTTTGCAGCCCAGGGTAGCTTGGGCAAAGAAGAAGTAAAAACAGAAATGGAGTGTTCTTTTTTTTAGCAGCATTGTGAGTAGAAATGCTAACATTGATGACTACAAAGAGTTTTGAAGTATTGGCTTTGGAGAGGTTTGCTGAAATTCAAGTGGACGGACAAATTAAGTGGTTTATACCACCAATTCCAGTGAAATGTTTTTAATTTTGTTAGAACATTTTCTTGCTGGTACTTCCCCTACTTTCCTTTTAGGCTCTAGTTGAAGTTTTTTGGTATTTGCTGTTGACAGTTCATGTTAATATTTCACAAGATCTTATGCCATGTGTGTCTCCCTCTCAATAATGTTTCCTTCTCACTTTTCAGTTTTGCTGTTGGTGGAAAACCTAGCAGCTTGTTTTCCAACATACCATTTAAATTGTGTGTGAAAAAACTTTTTGTGTGTTTATGAATAGCTGCTTTCGATTACTGTGTCTTACTTAACAAATTTAGCAAAGAGACCATACATTATGAATTGTGTTTTCAGTGCACTCGTGTGATGTGGACACCACCCCTCCGCGAAAGCTTCTCCTATCCATTCCTCGTACTTCAGATGTTGCTTGTGACTCATATTCTCAGGTAACTTTGACTTATCCTTAGGTATTCTGTGTGTTTGTTTTGCATTGAGTAACTTAAGCTAGAATTTTTTAAGCTTCCATAATAAAAACAGTGTAATGAAAAAATTAAGATGATGTTGCTACGTTGAATTCATGGTTATTTTAAGGGTGTAACTTCAAAATATTTACTACCAAAAACATTTCCTTCATCTGCCCTCCAGTCTTCTTCGTTTTTTCGTAGTGGCCCACAGAGCTGCTCAAGGAGCAGCAAATTTGCTTTCACTTCTACCATCTCAGCTTTCCCACATCACTGTCTGCCACCACCACAGCTTCCCGGAAGTGGGCAGGAGGAAGGGGGATGACGGATGGCAATGGAGTGTAACCTGTACGATATAGTCCTTCAGAGGAAAGAATAGTTTGTAGAGTAATTATGGCCGGGTACGTTAATGTGTAATTCTTCTTCCCATATTTGCTTAGTGTCCTCGAGCATCAGATAGTAGGCATAGAAAGAAACCACTCAGGAGACCGGAGCTATACTAGGAAAATTCCTGCTGGAAATTCAGGATTGGTTTGGGTTCTCCCATGTTCATCTAGCCTTCAGCTAGAGACCGCACAGAGATTCAAGCACCATACGAGTGGAAGAGAATAGGACCGAGAACAGTTCTCTCCCCTTTCTGTTGACAAATACTGAGCTTGGACAGATGCTACCTTGATTCAGAGGGTAAAAATAAAACAAAATGGGGACTATGGGGGAAAAAAAACAAAGCATGATGAGAATCTGAAGATGGCTCAGACTAAGAGCTCCCTTTAAGGATCTGCAGAATTTAGGAGAAGCCGGTTGAAGTCTGTTACACCAAACCCTTTGGATGGTCCGTTTCCCCCTGTGATGACTTCAGCAGGACTAGAGTCATTATGTGGCCTTGTCTCTTAAGTAGTGTTTCTAGACAGGCCTCTCTCTGAATGTGGGATGTATTAACTGCATTAAAAATTGTGGGTTTTTGGGCACCTGGGTGGCGCATGTGGTTAAGCCTTTATCTTCAGCTCAGGTCATGATCCCAGGGTCCTGGGATTGAGTCCAGCATCGGGCTCCCTGCTCAGTGGGGAGCCTGCTTCTCCCTCTACCTCTCCCCACTGCTTGTGCTCTCTTTCTCTCATGCTCTCTCTCAAATAAATAAAATCTTTTTTAAAAAATGCGGTTTTTATCTAATAAATTGATTTCATAGCTCACAAATAGGTTACCTGGATTTTAAAAAGACTTGATTTAGGGGCATGAATAGCAGAGGGGGATATTCTTAGAGAAGGGATACTTATGGAAGTAAAGAAAGGCATTTTGTGGTGGTGCTTGGTGCCCCGGGTAGGTTTATCCTGAGGCAGGTTTCTTTAAGGTGCATACCTTGTAGCTTCGAGATGTTGCATATACACTTCACTTTGTGAAGGTGTTAGGTATGTTGGGGGCTTCGCATTAACTCAGCGATTTAGGAGAAAAGTACTTCTTAAAACTAGAATGAAAGATGAAATTACCTCACCTTCCTAAAAATCCCCTAAATTACAAGTCAGGATCCAAGTGAAGCCTCTTAAAGGTGGCTCCAGATTGGCCCCTGGCCGCTGCCACCTCTTCTCTTTTCTGTGCCCTCCCTGTGCAGGACCCCCTGTCCCCTCGCATGTTCCACGGAGTCGCCCTCTGCTCAGCCCATTTTCTGAATTCTCCTTGTCTGCAGAATACTGCTAACACTTAGAATATGCCGCCTTCTCTGCTTTTTTATAACATCCTCTGTCTCTCCAGATGAAGCCTTTGGATGCAGCGTTAAATATGTTTGATTATGAACTCACCAAAATAGAGTTTGACAAAATTCAATGGATATACTGACCCAATTGCCCTCTCTCTCTTTGGCAAGCTTTGTTTTTACACTAATGATGGGTATTTACTTTTCATGGAAAGTTGTTGTAGTTAAGCGTCAGGAAGTATAATTTCTAACCCATTGGTTCATTTTATGTCTGGTGTATGTTACAACCAGATCATGTTTAGAGATTCTAATTTGCAGCAGTTTGGGCCCACACTAGAATACCTTGTGGTTAAATGTACTCATATTTATTTTCTCTTCCCAAGGGCTACAAAACTTTATAGAGGAAGCTTGATTGCACTCTGCATTTCCAATGTATTTTTCATGCTTCCGTGGCAGTTTGCTCAGTTTGTACTTCTTACTCAGGTAAGGTGCTTATATTTTTAAGCTGAATTAAGCTTAGTATGTTTGATTATGTGAACTCATTTGTATAAAATTATAGAACTGAGATATTATATGATTCTAAGTCCTAAAATGTTTTTTAGTTAATACTTTTAAACAAAATTCAGGGTAGGGAAATATGTGCAATTTATTTATTAGTGAAAGTTAATTATTTACTTATTAGTGGACTGCATTTATTGAATTCAAATTGATAAGAGTACTTTGTTATTCAGTATTGTTAGTGTACGTAAAAGAGGACTAGTGCTGTAACCTTAAGTATTTCTCCTAACTAAATGTACTTCTTTTATGAATAATGCTGTACGTTCTTACCCATGGGATAAATGCACATAGGATTAACATAGGACACATAGCTAAGCATTTCTTATTTATATAACTCCTCTACCAATCTAATTTATCATTTTTCTGTGCATTCTTGCCTCCCTTTCCCTTCAAATAGAGGTGTATGAAGCAAGGTGAAGGTGCTTGCTGAGGCAGGGAGTAAATTGTGTGCCAGTCTCTCTCTGTGCTGTTCCCCACCCCCACCTACTTCTGCTTCCTCACTATGCTGGCCATATTCATGTTCATCTAAAGCAGCTTGAGAGCTGTTTTGCAATCTTCTGGGACATGTCTTGCTTGAGACATGAAGTAAGATCTGGGTTTGAGTCCTAACTCTGTCCACTAGCTGCTTGACTTGGACAAACTGCTTAGCTGTGCTTAGTTTCAGTTTTCTCATTTGTGAGATAGAGAAAATAAAAGAACCTGCTTTATTGGGTTAGGATCAGATGAGGGAATGTATATAAGACTTAACACATTGCTGGTACTTAGCAAGATGTCAGTAAGGTTAGCTGCTTTTATCAGTATTTTTTAATAAGAGTCTATTTGTACTTAATTCTTTCTTTGATCTTACCTTTTAGACTCCTTTGCCTTCTTTAGCACGGTGACATTTTAAATGTTCCTGGTTAAAAATGTCCCTGAAAAGAAAATGAAACAAAAAAAAGTCTCTGAAAGGCACATCTTAAAGATTCTACCTTTGTAGGCCTGCTGTGTATTGCTTGGCCCTGGGGTGGAAAGGGAGAGTTCCCATTGCTTCCAGCTAGGGGTGATGACCTGATTTTGGGGGGGGTGAGTGGAGGAGGGTGTTTCATGGAGTGAGGGGCTTATGTTGAATAGCAAGGCACACTTCCTCACAGCTGTTGTGTCATATGAGTTTCATTCTTAAGCAATGAATGCTCCCCATGGATAAATCTGGGGAAAGGGAAATCTTGTTTTTCTTGCTACTGAAAAAATTTGTCATAGATTGTTTGAAGGTAAAAAACTTAAGGAATGAAACTTAAGTTATATGTTTAAGTATTCAACTACTTTGCAGTTTATACCATGTTTGTGTAGTAGGGGAAGCATGGGATTTAATCTGAGTTGCTTTCTCCATGAAGAAGGATGGAGAGGCATTGTTTGACATAGTAACTACATTTTACTCTAAGGGGTACATTATCATCATTTAATCAATTAATTCACCTAAATAACTCCAGTACTCTTTGAATTTTTGGTCAACACCTACACGGGTTTCTTCAAAACTGTAAAGAAAGTTAAAAGTAGTGAAAGTACTCCTAATTTGAAATTTGGTAAATTTGATTACAATTGAACACTTGAATATTTACATAAATGAAAGAACACTAATGGAGATTCTTGTAAAGAGAGACTAATAAGCAGAACTTAATGCATTTTTACACACACATGCATTACATAATTAATTTTGAGTTTAATGTACCTTTCCCAATTATGTATTGTCGTATGTTATAATTAAATTTTCATATTTTTTGATTGAGCAAAGCACTTTGTAATTGTACGTGTTGACAGTAGAGTCACCCTGACATTAAAATGAATATTGTTTTGAATAATCCACAAAGTAGATTATTCATATGGTTAATTGAGAAAGCTGCTCATGGAAGAAAAAAATCAGTATTTGCTATATTAATATATTGACTATGTTCAATAATAATTTGGCAGTAAGAGGGAAACTAAAGAATTCCCTTTGAATATAAATACAAATCAATGTGACAAAACAATAAAAAATAATCTTTTTTTCATTCTTAGAGCTATTCATTATATATGTAATTTTTATTTGTAATTTAACTTCTTTTTAAATTTCAGATTGCGTCATTATTTGCAGTATATGTTGTGGGATACATTGATATATGCAAATTACGGAAGATCATTTATATACACATGGTAATGGTTTAAAATTTTTTTTTCCATTTAGTTTGACCTTAAAACAGACTCTTGATTATTGGTGTTTGTTTTGCACATGGTTGAAGCTAGTTGTAACAGGATTCCATAACTAAAACAAGTGTCATTCAAATACTATGATATAATTAAAGGCCATGTTTTAAGTAGGCCACCCAGAAAATTTTAATTTGGGTCATATTATCTGATTTGAGATTGTTGTGCCTGACTTGCTTTAAGTAAAAGAGATAATTCATGAGAGAGAGAAACATGGAATTGTATATTATCTAGGAGCCTTCTGTTAAAATGAAGCAGAATGTTCGTTTGCTGAGCACCAACTATCCAGGCATGTGGGTCATACCACAGAATAGAAATACAAAGATCCCAGCATACCTATTAATCACATTTTGGTAGAGTGGAGGAAGGCAAGAGGACAGAGGATAAATAATAAACACAGTAAATGGGCAAATTATATATAGTATGTTAGAAGGTAATAAAGGATGATCAAAAAAAAGGAACAGAAACAAGTCATGGTACCCCAGGGAGATCAGGAGTGCCAGTGTTAGGGGGCAGGGGATTAAGATGCAAATGAGGTGGTGAGGGCAGGTCTTACTGAGAAGAGGAGAGAGTAGCAAAGATTGGGAGGAGAGGGAGTGGTTAGCTAAGTAGATGTCATGGAGAAGAATATTCTAGGTTGGTGGAACAGTTAGAACAAAGGTCCTAAGACTGGATGGTTGATTTTGAGGGATGTTTACCCTTTAAAAACATGTCTTCTCTTTGTCATCTTTATTATTGAATATTAGTATTGTTTTTAGGTTTTGTAAAAATGGTATCTGTTTATGAGACTTACATTTTTACTTAGGTTTCTGAGATTTGGATGTTATTGGAGTTCAGACAGTTTCTTTCCTTTATATTTTCCATGTATAAGTAAATCACAATTTATTTGTCCATTTTCTTGTTGAAAGATGTTTAGGTTTTTTTCCTCTTCTTTTTTTATTTTATGAATAACTGTACATTGTCACATATACCTCCTGAGGCATATATATCAAGAGTTTCTCTAGGGTCTTTACCAAGTAGTAGAATTCCTGGGTGGTAAATTATATACATGTTCAACTTTTTAATTTAATCCTGTATTATTTTTCAAAAATGATTGGACTACCTCGAACAGTAATGTATAATATATAGCTCATATTATTGTACATCCTTTTTTATCTTGTCAATCGGGTGAGTATAAAATGGTATCTTAGGGCCTTAATCTGCATTTTCTCTGATTCTCAGTAAAGCCGAAGGTCTTTGATATGTTTATGGGCCCTTTGTGTTTCCTTTTTTTGTGACATTCCTATTTTTGTGACATTCCTATTCAAATCTTTTTACCAGTTTCTCTCTTATATCCAAGAGAAAATGGCATCTGTTTTATTCACTGCGGTATAATCCACTGTTTTCATTATTTATTTTTATGCTTTTATGCTTGACTTGGTCCTGATTTGGCCAACTACTTTAAGCTGGCTTCTTTGTCCTTTTAACATATCCTCAAGTTTTGAACACTTCTTAAAAGAAATTAATAAAAGCTAAGCTTCATCAAATGCTTTTCTGAATCCGTCTGCATGATCCTGTGTGTTTTTCCCTCTAATATGTTACTGTAGTGAATTACATTAATTGATATTCTACCTTAAGAAACCTTGCTTTTCTGGGCTAAACACAATTTTTATATATTGCTGGATTAACTTTGCTGCTGTTAGGATTTTTAAATCTTTGTTCATGAGTGGGATTGGACAGTAATTATCCTTTTTTTTACACTTGGCTTATTTTTTTTCCAAACTGTCTAATATAGCTTTTTTTTTTTCATTGCATTGCAGTAAAAATCAGAATAGTTGGTTAGCATTTAGAGTTGGTCAGCCACATGGCCACATAGGTAACTACGGATGGAGTGTTTGACTCAATTACAGTTATAAAACTACTAACATGACAGAGGTTTAGTTTGTAGTAGGACCTATCTTGGGTGAATGGTTTATGTTTTATGATGTGACTTACTATGGAACTATTTTCTTACTGTGAAATACCTTCTTTCATTATCACTTTACAAATTCCTAAATCCCTACAGTTACATAAAGGAAAAAAATACAGAATTGTTTCCAAAAAGGATTTTTTTTCCATTTTTTTTATTGTGGTAAAATACATATAACATTTACTATCTTAATCTTTTTAAGTGTACGTATCAGTGGTATTAAGTACTTTCACAGTGTTATTTATACACCACCCACCACTACCATCTCCCAAACTCGTTGCATCTTGCGAAATAGACTCTCTATACCCATTAAAAGATAACTCCCTATTCTCCTTCTTCCCCTCCCCCCAGCTCCTGGAAACCCCCACTGTGCTTTCTATGTCTGTGATTTTAACTATGCTAGGTACCTCATGTAAGTGGAATCGTGTAGGGTTTGTCTTTTTCTTAATGCGTTATTTTACTTAGCATAAGGTGCTCAAGATCCACCCATGTTGATGCAAATTGAAGGATTTCCTTTTTTATGGCTGAATAATTTTTGCATCGTGTGTGTGTGTGTGTGTGTGTGTGTGTGTGTGTGTACACACACATACCACAGTTTCAATATTTATCCATTGATGCAAATTTGTGTTGTTTCCACGTCTTGGCTTTTGTGAATAATGCTGCAGTGAATATGGAAGCACAGATATCTCTTTGAAATCTTTTCATTTTCTTTGGGATTGCTGGATCATATAGTAGTTCTAATTTTAATTTCTTAAGGAACCTCCATACTGTTTTACACAGTGGCTGTACCAGTTTACATTCCCACCAACAGAGAAAAAGGATTTCTTTTTCTCCATATCCTCCTCAATATTAACCTCTTGTCTTTTTATAATAGCAGTTCTAACAGGCGTGAGGTGATGTCTCATTGTGGTTTTGATTTGCATTTCCCTGATGATGAGTGATGTTGCGCACCTTTTCATGTACCTGTGGGCCGTTTGTGTGTAGAAAAATGTAGAAAAATAGAAAAATGTCTATTCAGGTCCTCTGCCCATTTTTAATCAGATCATGCGGGGTTTTGTTTGTTTTTTGGCTGTTGAGTTGTGAAAATGACTTACATATTTTGAATATTAACTCTGTCTGCTAGATGGTTTGCAAATATTTTTTCCCATCCTGTGGGTTGCTTCTTCCTATTGTGGGTCATTTCTTTTGCTGTGCAGAAGCTTTTTATTTAGGTTGGTATAGTCCCACTTGTTTATTTTGCTTTTGTTGCCTGTGCTTTTGAACTCGTGCAGGACTGTCTGCAGCTGGGCTGGTGTGTGAGGGATGGGCAGCTGCTGTTGAGATCAGAACTGGAATTCACTCGAAATAACTCAGTTTCCCATTGAAGAGTTCTCCTGGGAGTTGCAAGTCTTGGGAGAATCCCGAGTTCCCAAATAGTTCCATCAGACAGGTTTGGGCAGTGTAGCTGTTGTCTAGGTGAGAAGACAGATTCCTGCCATTTTTCCAGAATCCTCAACAATGTGATCATTTCCTTTGATGCTGTAAAGGCATTTGATAAAAGTCAGTAGCTCTTTCTGATTTTAAGATCTTAATCAAATGAAAATAGATGGATATTTCATTGAAATTTTAAATATATGCATATACTTCAAAAGCTAGTAGCATCACACAAAATGATGAATCAGTAGAAATATTCCCATTAATGCCAGAAGCTTAACAAATATGCCTACTGCCGTGCTTATTACTTAAGTTTGTTGCAAGAATATTAAATAATACAGTTGACTAAAAAGGCTTTCGAAAATTAGAAAGGAAAATGAAGAAATATTGTTTGTAGGTGATATGATTTTGAATACCAAAAAAACCAAAATTAATTACTACTAGAGACAATGAAAAAGTGTATTCATTTCTGCATATTTAACATAATTTTTCTGTATGTAGTCAGAAAATATGATGAGAAAAGATTCCTGATACAATAGCAACAGAAATAATACACTTTGAAATAAATTTAATATGCAGGATCCATATGAAGAAAATTTTATACTCTGCTAATGAATGTAAATGAACACTTAAAGTGGAAACGTGTTATTTTTGGATGTAAAGATTCAATAGTGGACAGATATAACTCCAAATATGATGTGATGTACATTATTGAATAAAGCGTTTCTAATAAAAATGTCAGCTTTTGAAACTTAAGCTGATCCTAAAATTCAGATGGAAGTTCAAATATATGGATCAAAAATAAAACTTCTAGAAGAAAACATGGATTATTTTATTTTTAAAAGCTTTTCTAATAATGGAAGACCTAAGGGAAATGAAGGATAAATTTGGCTAACATAAAAATTTGGAAAATAACCATAATGCAGAAATGCTACAAAGATAAAAATGAACTCGGAAAAATATTTACAATGTGTTTGCTTGATAAGGAGTGATGTTTTCATAACATATAAAGAGAGCTCTTAAAATAACTGAAACCCAGTAGAAAAATGGCTGGTAGGAATAAGCAATTCAGACCCACAACAAAGACAGCAAATAGAAGAGAAGATCCTCTGTCTCACTGAGTATTAAAAGAATGGAAAAGTGAAACAATGCGGCAGCATTTTTCTTGTATGAGATTGTCAAACATTTTGAAGAATTGGTTAGAGTGTGCATCAGCAGGAGCCCTCATGTCCTACTGGTGGAAGAGTAAATTGGTACAGTATTTTTTATGGCAATTTGTCAATATTTTTTCAGATTTCAAAATGTGTATACCCTTAATCTATCAATCCCACTTCTAGTAATTTATCTCATGAGTGTGTTGACATGTATATAAGATACACACCTAAGGATGTTTATCATAGCGGTGTTTGTAGTAGGAGAAACAAAATAACAGCAAAATAAAACTGGAAAGTACTTACCTGTTCAGCAGTAGTCTTAGGACTGGTCAGTAAATGATGATATGACTCTAGAGTGGTATACTTTTCTCAGCTGTTCAACAGAATGAATTAGATTGTTTTCATATGGAAAGCTCTCTGAAACAGAGTAAAAGCAAGCAGTAGCATAGCTTATGGGCCAAGTTTCCATTTGTGGTTTTTTAAAAAATACAAACTAGAATTTGTACTTGGGGATGTGTGGAAGGATGCACAGGAAACTGTTGATGGTGGCAGTCTTTTGGGTTTTAAGTGTGGGATAGAACGTGAGCTATTTTCATGGTATATCCCCTTTTGAACATCATGGGCATGTGCAATTTTCAGAATAAAAATCAGTGTCTTTTATGTGCATTAATTGTATTTTTCTTGGATTTTTCCAGATTTCTCTTGCACTTTGTTTTGTTTTGATGTTTGGAAACTCAATGTTATTAACTTCTTATTATGCTTCCTCTTTGGTAATTATTTGGGTAAGTGTCTCTTACGTACATGGCTATTTTTGAAACTAATGGTTCACCAGTTTTTAATCACTGGCTTGGGATTCGAATTTTTGATAAGAATCATCTCAGGTGTCTTACTGAATCCATGTGTATGTAATAGAGTATTCCAGTACTCCCATCCCCAGGAGGAAAGAAACACAAGAGTTAATATTGGAAAACATAGCACCTTGCCTTATACCCCTACTTTGCCCTTTCTCTTTCCTCGTCTTTTCTGTCGCATGAGTTTTGGTCCAGGGTTCATTTTAGAAAGGTTTTGTGCTTTCTTCTTTTTCTTGTTTCCTCCCCTTTGCAGTTTTTTTCCTATTCCTGCTCCACTCTCTGACTCCCTTGTCTCCCTGTGGCATCTCGCAGCAGTCTCTCCTGGTTTCGCTGGGATCAGAGGCTTGGGGCCTTGGGTTCTTTTAGATTTTTTACTCCTTGTGTCTATTTGTGTAAAATATTTAGATGGTTTAAATCAGGTGATGATTCAGTTATGTTTTGCTAAATCACTACAAAGAGCAGATTTAGATTATCGGGAGACTGTCTTCTAGAATTAGAGCAAACAGTGAAAAGTCATCTAACTCCTTCTGCCACTTTTGGCAGGATGACTTTGTAAATATAAGTCTTCCTACATTTAAGGACTTCCAGATGTGGGTATGCCTTTTTTATTAGTAGGTTTCACCATTACACTGTTTTGCTAACCTAAGAGGAAAAAAATTACTCCTATATTTAAAGTGCACATGCTTTAGTATTAGGCTGTTTTCCTGAAGAAAAAAGTACACTGTACTGTCTTAATTCAACTATGTTCTGCTTCTTGAATAATCATTTAGGTTACCCAGATTATTTTGGCTTTCTTGACTTCTAGAACCCATGAACAACTTGGGAACTTCCTATTTCTTTGTCCTATTTCACAAATAATATTTAAGATCCTGTTTCCCAAGAATATGCCTCTTCCCAGTCTGGACTCCTACCCTTTTCAGGTTGTGTGGCTCAAGTGTACTTAGTCACAGATATTAGCAGTTAGGATATGAGGATGTGGGGTTTTCAGCAATGTCAAAGAAATCATTAACTGAGTTGCTGTACTTTGAGATTAATGATAGTTCTTATAGTCAGTGAATTCTGTTTATAATCAGGAAATGTAACAGTGCACTCCGTTCTATATTTACATGTGTACACAGGCAAGGCCTGCTATTACTTAAAATACATGACTCTTAATACTTGTATTCAGGTGCTGGTAAAATCTAACCTAAGTACATATGGTAGGAAACTTCAGTCCAGTACCTACAGTGTATCAGCTTTTCTTTTAGGTGCTTGAAAGTAAGGTGTGTCTTGGGTATGAATTAAGCATATTTATGTATATTTCATTATTTGGGTGTCTACACATAAATGATGCCAACAGTTACAGAATATAGAGAACGTATGCATATTTAACTATAAACACACATTTGCCTATTTTTGTTTGTGGTCATCTCTTTGAAACCTAAATCTTATCACTTTTTGTGTTCCCAGATATTCAGAAACTTCTGAAGAGATTTGATTTGGGTTCATGTATTTATGTTTTGATCTCCAATCATATTTTTGCCAAGTTTGAAGTAGATTTAGCTCCCTGTAGGTACTATACTTGGTAGTCTATTCATTTCCTAGAGAGAGAGAAAAGATTTGGTAGAGGAGAAATATTTAGTTGATCCATTAAAAACTCATTTGTAGTTTATTCTAAGAGTTGATCATTTTTAACTTAAGGAAAATCTTATAAGACACCTGTCTAAAATTCTGAAATTATTATATACCATATATAATAGTACACACACATATTATATACTATTATATATGATATTGCTTCTGAGGTAAATCAGGGATGTAAAATCAGTCATAGAAATTTATATATGGTAATTCTGTTTTCAATTTTACAAAGTCACTAACTGATCTAATCTACTTTGGATAAAATGGGGCTATTTCTTAAAGTCAATGAGCTTGTGGTGATGCTATGTGGAACATTGACAATGTGCTGAATTTTAGATTCTTGAGAGTCTTATTATTTAGAATGTTTTTTGGTACTTGAATTTATGTATATAAGTATTAACTGTATGCTATGTTATTTTCTCCATGAAGGGTATACTGGAAATGAAACCACATTTCCTGAAAATAAATGTATCCGAACTTAGTTTATGGGTAAGAATCAATCTATTTGAATGCATAAGTTTTTCCTTTTCTGAAATAAATATATCATCAGTTTTATGTTTTACTTTTAAGGAAATTATTCTTATGTAATGCAGGAGACCTAACAGGTTTATGACATAATTAGGGCTCAATTTTCCCTTTTCATGTGGCACGTTAAAATTAATATTGGATAGGTGAAGAATTCTGGTTTTACTTATTTTATCACCCATTTTTTTTCTGGGGAGCAGTGCATGTGTAAGAGACTGTTAGTAGAGGGGGAATGTAACTGCAATTGCTGTGTAAATCTATAAGATATATTAATTTTGACAGTATCATGTGTATATTTTTATTTTTGGTGATAGCCCCTTGATTTTGGATAACATTCTTTAAGCTACATTGTTTAGCATTTTTTTCTTGGGTATGTAAATATTTCTTTCACATGTGATTAAAGCATTAATTTTTTTCTTCCTCGGCTATGTCTAAGGAATGTCTGTATGAAGCATTAGTTTATTTTTGTTTTGTTTTGTTTTGTTTTCCTTTTGTAGGTTATCCAAGGATGTTTTTGGTTATTTGGAACTGTCGTACTCAAGTATTTGACATCTAAAATCTTCGGCATTGCAGATGATGTAAGTGCATTTTTTGCTTAAACTTGAAAGACTTGTAAAGAATCAAACAGGCTAAGAATGAATTACTTGAGTTATTAAAGTACCACTATTTAAGCCAAATTCTAATATGACGTCTATTCACTTACTATTTTATCTATTTACAATAATAGAAAGTCAGTGTGACTCTGTGTATAATCTCTATTCTCCAATATTAATTCCGTGACACAATTCTGTTATTTTAATCAGTCTTTCTGTATCACAAAGATTTTAAAATTTTAAAGCAAGAAAGCTCTAAAGACTTCAGCTCAAATTTTAAGGTCCATACAGGCATTTTTCTCTGGTTTCTTTATAATCTCCTTTGGTAACACATCAGTATGCCATCTCCAGAGCCTCTCAAACTGTAGACCGTATTATAGTCTCATTCCCCCAACCCCATTTCCTGGTCAGTGCTTGTGAAAGGTTTATTTATAGGTAATTTAATCCATTTAGTCTTGTTAAGAGAAGATTTTTGTTTTATTTTGTTTTGGTGTTTTGTTAGGAGAGAAAATAAGATGAGAAGAATTCTGCTTTATAACTTTAAAGATTCTTCCTATCCATAATCTTGCTTTGCCTATCTTATTTTGGTGTTTTCGTAACACGTTGATTAAATTTAGAAAGGAAGCAGCACAACCGCCGACACAGGAAGCGTAAAGCAAACCACATATTTTTTCTGTAATTTATCTTAATCGGCTATCTTTCCTTCATCTGTAATAGATTAAAGCTATAGTTTTGAAACTGGGTTTTGTGAAGTCCTGGAATTTCCAGGTTCTTCTTTGGGGTCTGTCTACTTCCCAACCTCCTTGGCAGCCCCTCTTTTACCCAGGGCAGTTTAGCTTTAATTTCTTATACATTGGACAATTATGCAGTTTTTCATTTGAACAAGGGAATTTTTTGCTTAAAAAAGATTGAAAGCAATTGGGTTGTTCATTGGGTGATCTACAACCTGTGGAAAGACTTTTTAAAGTAGAAAACTATAGTCTAAAGTTACTTATTCACTCATTCAATATGTACCTGCTATGTGGCTGGCGATAGAATGCATCCTAGAGATACAGAACCAAGTAAGACATGGTCTAGTGGGAGCTCGGGACGATATATAATGTAATAAAGGGCTGTGATAAAAGCAAGCATAGAGTGCTGCAGGAACACACAGGAGGAGAGTTGGGGAAGGCTCCTGGAAGTCTGCTGAGAAGAGAAGAGCTACACGGCGATTGAGTCAGTGAGGATGCAGAGAATGAGCAGGAAGAAAAGGGAGACAGCCCAAGTTGTAGGTGAATGGAATCTGTCTCCTCACTGGGGGGAGACAAACCAGTTAAGGTATTGATTTGGGTTAAAGTGATGTCATTTCTGTCACAGCCTGATGTTGTAGGAGGAGCAAACAAATTAGAAGTAATTGAATTGCAACTTCAGTATTTCTAGAAATCTGTAACACTGATCAAGGACATCACCTCACAGATTCTGAATTGTGACATTGGTCAAAGGAAGAGCCTGGCAAAGCCACACAGCCTTTATGAAGCATTTCCACTCATCCTTCTCAATTAAGATAAATAGACACTTCTCTGTTCTTTAGGAACCACGTGAACAATTTCTCAGTACATCCTGACTTCCCATCCCTGCTCCTGTCAACACTCTTCTTGGTAGAAGTCTGAGGTTGTTTACCAGGGAAGCTTAGTCAGTACTCAGGGACACACAGTTTTTTACTGGGGGCTGGTAACATAGGCACCTTCTACCTGACACTTACCAAAATTTCAGACTCCCAGAAGGAATGTGGGTGCTCCACAGAAACCAGAGTGTTTTAGGTACAGGGAGCCACTACTCATTCTCACTTGGAGTGGTAGGAGCCATCTGAAATCTAAGTTCCCTGATGCCAGCCAAGCACCAGCTTTGCAGGTGGATTTTTCAAGGATAGCATCAGGCCCGCTACGTTAACTCTCGTCTGAACATCAAGTTTGCCCCATCTTTTCCTCTCTTCCACGCCTTCTTGGGTCTTCCGTGAATCTGCGTACCACCACCCAGCCAGTCATAGGTTTGTGGAGAGTCTGGGCTCCAGGATCCCTCAGCCCATGTGTGCAGCTTTCCAGGCCACCAGGGATGGGAGAATTGATGTACCCCCTTGTTGGTTTTCCCATTTCTGGAATCTCTGTAAAGTTTCTAGCTAGTCTGCCAGTCTGCTGTTCACTGCAGGAATAATGCAGTATTAGGCTGGCAGAGCATTTCCTGCTGTTTGATACTTTTATTAACAGTGTCTCTGAGCAGAGATTTTTTTCGCTCCCTGCCCCCAAGCAAGTCGGCACCCTCCTGTAGCAAAGGTTCTGCTTTTCATGGCCAGCCCCACCCTGGTGGAACTCTTGGGCCTACCGCCCTGGGGCAGTGGCGGTGCTGCTGATGGTGGATGGGGGCAGCCCAGGCACCCGTGCCGCAGACACCCACTATTTCCATTCAGAATCCGTCAGCTTTTGTAGGGGTGAGTGCTTCTCCGTTTGTTTTCTTTTTGGTGAATTTCTAAAACGTGATATGGTTGTTTTTGACAGTTCTGTCCAATTTTATAGGTGTCATTGGGGAGGGGATTTGTCAGTTTCCTCCTCCGCCATTGGGAAGTCCCCGTTTTCATTGATTCTTGAGTGTTGATCCAGCCTTGTATTTCTTGGACAACCTCACTTGCTCACAATGTATTATTCTTTCTATATATTGTTGGATTTGGTGGTTAATATTTTTAAGAATTTTTATCTATATTTATAAGGGATATTAGTCTCTCGTTTTATTTTCTTACAATGTTTTTGTCTGGCTTTGGTTTCAAGGTAATGCTAGCTTCCTAAAATCCTTGGGAAGTGTTCAATCTATTTCTTTTTTTAAAAATTAATTTATTTGTTTTAGAGAGAGAACATGCATGTGTGTGCGTGTGTGCGGGGCAAGGGAGGGACAGAAGGAGAGAACCTCAAGGAGGCTCCCCACTGAGTGTGGAGTGGGATGTGGGGCTCCATCTCATGACCCTCAGATCATGACCTGAGCTAAAATCAAGAGTGAAGCCTTCAGGGCCCGGAGTTTCGTGAGAGAATTTTCTGCTACAAATCCACTTTCTTTAGGAAGTTATTGGTGTTTTATGTCTTTGGAGGAAACTTAACCCATTTCATATATGTCATCAAATGAATCATGTTTTTTTAAAAAAAATTATTGTAGGATTCAGTTAGTGAAAATTCCTATTAAAAGTTTTGCATGTATGTGAAATGGCCTTTTATGTTCTTTTATTTATTTTCCTTGTTTGGATTCAGAATCAATATTGTGTTAGTCTCCTATCAAGAGCTGTTTTTTGATTTTTTTGTGTGTGTGTGCTGTTTATCCTGCTTTCTATTTACTATATTAATATTTTCAAAGTACCATCCTTTTTTGAGTCCTCTAGTTTTGCTGAGTTTCTCTTTTTCACCAAATTGTGTCATCCTTGTTTCTTATGTCTTTGTGCTTGTTATGCTCGAGGGAAAGTGCTTGGCTCTTTTGTTTTCAACCTCTTTTATTTTCTGATAAATGCATTTAAAGCTGTAAATTTCCCTACTAGTAATACTTTTTTCTGTGTCTTACAAATTAACTATTTTGAGATTTTCTTTTTAGTCTGAAGGTTATTAAGTTTTATGTTTTTTAGTTTCTAGCCAAAAAGATTTTTAAAGCCATTTCTAGTCATTTTACAATTTTATTGCATTTATGATTAGAAAAAAAATAATTTGTATTACATCAGTTCTTTGACATGTATTGTATGGTCTGTGAACATTTAAAAAATATTTTACTTATGGTCAAAAGTAACATGTATTCTCTCGTGAAGTTTATATTTTCCACGAGCATATTAATAATGTTCAGGTGTTATGTTAACATCTGTCTGCTCTTTCTATTTTAGAGGGAAATATTTAACATTTCCAGTGACCACGGTCAACTTACCTATTTCTTCCTACGGTTTTTTCAGCTCTCTATATACTTTGAATCCATACTGTGATCTACAGATATGTTCATGATACATATGACCTTGCTTTGCCTTTCATTTCATTAGTGTATAATGTCATTTGTTGTCTCTTTTCATATATTTTTTTGCTTGAATTCAGTTTTGTGAGATGTTACAATTGCAAACCTAGATTTCTTTGGTTCAATTTATCTTATTTTGTCCTCTTCTATTTTCAACCTTTCTACATACTTTTGTTTTAAACATGTCTCTTGTGGACAATATAAATTTGAATTTTTTCCCTGAAACCCAGTTTGAGTGTCTGTCCTTTAATTTGCGAATTTAAGGTCTTTACATATATGGCAGTTACCATTATATTGGGACTTATTTCTTCCATTTTGTTTGAGAGTTTCCATCTATTTTACTTGCTTTTTTAGATTTTTTTCTCCTTATCATTGGATAGTTTTCTTATGCTATTTAAGGCACTGTATATTCTCCCTTTTGATTTCTTAAACTTATCAGCATACACTTCTTCCCCAACAAAGTAAAGTATTTTGGAATTCTTCAGCACATTCCCACCACCCCTTAGTTCCTACTCTCCCTGAGCCCCCCTGCTTCATATACGTATCATTTAGGATTTTAGCTATGGTTTGTTTTATATAATTTCCCTCTTTTTGTTTGGTTCTTGCTTTTTTACACAATAATGAATTAAAAATTTGGCAAATGCTTTCTCATTTGTTAATTGCAAATACTCCCACCTTCGTCACATGGCTTTTTGTGGGAAGTGGATGAGATGATGTGAGAGCACTTGGTAGCATGTAAAGAATTACGCAGATAATTGATCATCATTCAAAGGTGGATTTTATTCCAAGGCCTGCCCATTTTCTACTTATTTCAGTCTTTTTTTTTTTTTGGAGCCCAATTTGGGGCTTGAGTTTACAACCCTGAGGTTGACCTGAGCTGAGATCAACAGTCAGATATTTAATCGATTGAGTCACCCAGGCATCCCTCAACCCCCTTTTCAGAAATCGATATTAATGTTTTCTTTTCTTTCACTCCATTGCACTTTGTCCCTTAGGATTGACAGATGTCTGTGTGTGTTACCAAGCCTGCCCCTCCTGGTAGGCTCGAGAAAAGGAGATGTTGTATAGTGTATTTTGTCAGGCTTTAGCACACTGAGCAGGGAAAACCCACGGATAAAAAGCCTTTGGTGTGTTGATGACGGATCGTGGAAGGCGGGTGTTGCTGGAGCTGTCATTTGCCAGCAAGAGAAGGAGGAACCATGAGGTTGCAGCGCTTAAACAGAAGCAAGCCTGGCATGGGGGAACAGCGAGCTCTGCGAGGACGTAGTGAAAGCTATTTTTAGATACTATTAAGATTGAAGTGCGCTACTACAATGTGTGGCGTAATCTAATGGTACCTCACTTTCTTCCTTCCTAGGCTCATATTGGCAACTTATTAACATCAAAATTCTTCAGTTACAAGGATTTTGATACTTTATTGTATACCTGCGCAGCAGAGTTTGACTTTATGGAAAAGGAGGTAAGATACAATTTCTAGTTTTCCTTCCTCAGGTTTTGGTCTATTCATTTTTCATAAAGGGCGCTCCTGTTATCTCAGATTCTCCTCTGTGCTGTTACCTCAGTGAGAAGGAAAGGAAAGTGATGGTTTGGAGGAGGACATTCCTACTTCCGTTAGTATGGCATCCTGAAATGTCTGGTCTTTTCTCATTTTGATAATTTAGAAGCATGCATTCAGACTAGTGATAGTGTTTCGGATGAGTAAACACAGAGGCACTTCAAATCGCCTCTTTTCAGGGATGGCATTAATTCGGTGCCGCTCCCAAGCGCTCACATTTCCATTCACTCAATGGTTGTTGATTTGAATAATCTCATTGCTTTGAAATATCATTGAGTACAAGTGTTTCATTCCAACAATGTTTTTCTTTCTAAAACTATATTCAGATGTTTAAAAAGAAACCAGAGCGTAGTGTGGGGAGTTGTGAGGTGGAAGTCTGCAGTACTACTTGATGTTCTCGGACAGGCGCCTCTCATTTGATTTTCTGTCATGGCTTACTAGTTCCTAGTGGTGTGCTGCAAAAAGATGTTGTGAGGACCAAATGAAATATGTAGGGGAGTACTCTGATATTTTAATGATACTTTGTATAAAATATTATTGTGCAACAATCAGTGAGCTGGTTTGGTTCAACAAGCATGTGTGTCTTTTTTAACACCATCCATGTGGCCCCAATTTACTATGCTATTTTATTATCTGTGGAACAGTTTCCTTCAAAACTATCTGTGTGTATGTCTCACACTGGTCAACAATACCCCGTTTCCCCCTTGATCCCCGCCGGGTGGTTCCCTCTGTGTCCTGAGTTAAGACCAGGCGATGATAGTGTACCACACTGCAAACTCTTATCAACCAGACATTCTGAATTGAGCACGTCCTGCAGATGTACTGTTTACTCCAGTGACCTGTCAGTCTTCATTCCCAGGTTCTGGCAAATTTTGACACATAGTGACTAATAAATAGTGTATGAATGATAGTGTTGAGCCCACTGAAAGAAACTAAGGAAGTGTGTCTTCCAAGACATTCAAATGCATGTTCATAGAAAATCAAGACTCCTTCAAGCAAGTGGTAAAAGAAATAGAAGGTAAACGTCGGCAGACCATTAGGATATGGCAGAAGTCCTTTGACATTATTGAGGATATTCATGCCACTATAACCTGAGAATATGCACCATCAGTTAGATGATAGAGGAAATTTATTGAAGCATAGCATGACTTTAGTTAATTTGAAGAAGATAGCAAAGCTGTTTGCAGTCTGCTATTTCACGTCTCCCTAGGTAGCTTCACAGGGCCTGTGCTGTAGAGACAGTATGGTGCCAGTTCAGAGAAGGCATCCATTGTATGATACAGCCATACACTGGGGAAAACGGAACAGTTTAACATGATATTATACTGATATGGAAAGACATGTATAATGGGATGAACAAAATGATATGACCTTATTTACCTATAGTTAACACACATAGAATAAGGTGTAAGAGAGCAAAATTTTAACAGTGGTTTTTGGCTGGAGAGATAATAATTAACTTTTTTTGCAATTTGCATCTTCAAAATTTTCTGCAATAATAATATTTCAATTGTATTCTGCTTTAAAGTAAAGTAAAAATAATGAGGGGGCTCTTTCCTTTCTAGATATGGAAATGGTTAGCAACACTATTTAAAGTACAAGGATACTAAGACAGGAACATTTTTATGGCCAAAAATAGACAATGCTTGGATAGATCCATGTGTATGTACTTAACTATGTTTATGTGTATTTACTTAATATGAAATGAAGAGAGAAGCACAGATAAATAGTTAAAAAATGCATTATTTCATAAATATTATTTGAAATAATGGGATTTGGGGTTAGGAGTCAGGTTAAAGCCTTGTGTCACATTATGCAATAAACTTCAATTCAGTTAATTAATGTGTCAAAATTAAATGAAGCCTGAAAAATAAATTTGAGAGACATTTCAATGAGTATTAGCTTCATTTTTTAATAAGCATAATAGCAGTGCAAAGCACATATGAGAATGATTAATAGATTTGACTGCGTGTAACTTAAAACATCTGTACATTAAATATTATAAAAATTAAAAAGCAAATGACTAACTGGGATGACTCTTGCTATAAATATAACAAATGAAACTAGGGATTAATGTAGCGAGTATAGGAGATTGTCCAAATCAGTAAAAAATTACCGAGGACTCTTACCCTTCTCCACCACCAAAAATACATCCCCACTCCCACACACATATGTAGAAATGGGGGAAGGATATGAACAGACAGCCCATTGGGGAGGAAATGCTGATAACGGATTAACATGTGAAACTGGTTATTGTCTTTATTTTTTCTGCATTTTTAGTTTTTACCATGAGCATATATAACTTTTATGCTTCGCAAAAAACCAAACATTCGTAGAAAAAGAACTTGTAATTCTAATAGCACACACGCATGTACACACACGCATACCCCTCTCCCTGTGTGGTTTGTTTCATTTGCATTTGTCCTTGTGCATACACTCTCTCTGATGGATCTTTTGGAATTGAGGAAATTGTATAATTTTGTTCCCTTTATATTAATACTTTTATATATTAAGTTGAGTCCCTTCTGTTGGTTTCCTGCTGAGAGTTATACTGATTTTAGTCACTTCTTGTCCCTCCACTACTTCCCCCCCATTTCTAATTTAGTGTAATACTATAATCCGTGACATTATTTTACTTCGCATATACTCTGACCCCACTGTAGGAGTCCCATTGCACGTTCAGCGTCTGCACACGTAACCACTCATGCTGTTCTGTCCCCTTTACGCCCTCGTCCTTGTCGCAGTTCTGTAGGTTGGTGTTTTTAATGCTGCATGTTCTGGGATTGAAGCCTCTCCTGCCATTTCTTGATTGGGTGAAGCTTGCTCTGCAGTGGATTCCTCAGGAAGGGCCATAGGAGCCATAATCCCTGAGTTTTTACATGTTCAAATATTTTATCAGTGGCTTTTATACAGGAAGGTCTGGTCTGGCTAGATGCAGAATCTTCAGCTCAAGGGGTTTTCCTTGACTGTCTTAAATAAATTACCCCACCATCTTCCAGCCTAAGTGTTGCTGTCAAAGTTTGATGCTAATCTGATTTTTTCTTTTTATGAGAAATATTAAAAAACACCTTTTTTTTTTTTAAGATTTTACTTATTTATTTGACAGAGAGAGAAACAGGGAGAGAGGGAACACAAGCAGAGGGAGTGGGAGAGGGAGAAGCAGGCTTCCCACTGAGCAGGGAGCCCAATGCGGGGCTTGTTCCCAGGACTCTGGGACCGTGACCTGAGCCGAAGGCAGATGCTTAACGACTGAGCCACCCAGGCGCCCCTAAAAAATACTTTTAAAACAAAGTTTTGGAGGGGCACCTGGGTGGCTCAGTGGTTAAGCGACTGCTTTCGGTTCAGGTCATGATCCCAGGGTCCTGGGATTGAGCCCCATATCGGGCTCTCCCTGCTCAGCAGGGAGCCTGCCTCTCCCTCTCCCTCTGCCCCTTCCCCTGCTTGTTCTCTCTCTCTGTCAAATAAATAAATAAAATCTTAAAAACAAAAACAAAGTTTTGGAATATAATTTTAAAATTGTTTGAATTCTTTGTTAAATTTTGTTAAATACTTTAAACGCAATTTTGACACATTGCCTTTTTAAGGTAAACCCTATATCTCACAACTTTTCTTACATTTATTGTTAGTTGTTATTAGTAAATATCTAAATTTTTGAAAATAAAATACTTTTGGTTGTATGATTTTTGATTAGGTTAAGACAATTACAAATTTACAAAACAGAGATAAATGTATTTTAAAAGATTAAGTACTATGCAAATGTTTATAAGGTAAATAGTAAAATAAAAACAAAAAATCTCCTTTTAATGGGACTTCTAGCTGTGAAGTACGCATTTGGGGTTAATAAATTATCAAAATTACTTTTCTAATACAGAATAACAAGCAAGAAAAGTGGGCTAATTAGAGGGGAAGTCAGAAAATACTCCTTATATTTTGTAGGATTAAAATGTACCAGTGTTTTTTTAATATGGTTAAAGCTAGACTCTTCTTGATAAACATATTTGGGAAAGTGTACATTATTTAACTCAATAATACAAGATTATTTTTGTGAGGGTAAATGTTGGTGGTAAGCGAATCAATTGCAATTGAGAAATTTCAAGCCTAGAGTTATTTAAGACTATGACTTCAAATGATTGAGCAATATATAAGATTGCAATGTGTGGGGGTTTGTTATTAAATGTTTCTGTGGTTCTTATTAAGAAAAGGTAAAAATGTTTTGATTTCTTTTGTAAACATTGGTCATTATTTTTTGTGTGTGTGTGTCTCTTGGGATGATGGTTAAGATTTTTATCCCCCACCAAATGTACAGGAAAAGCTCATGCCATTTAAAGGAGTTCTGCTGACCTTAGGCGAATATTAAGTTGAGTTCTCTAGTTAGAAAAGTAGTGTGCAAAGAGGGAACAATAATCTTTCCAGTCCCAGTCACATTTTATACTTACAAGTGTTTGGGGACTGTGTTTATTTGTGTTTTCAACTCCAACATTTTGGGGAAGTTTGTTTCTATGGAAATGCATCTTCATTTTTATGATGGGAGTGAGTGGGTATATTGGATGGACCCTAGATGGGTGAAGGATCTGTTTACACTTCTTAAAATTCATTTTGTTCATTATTTAAAATGAAATTTTGTCTGAAAATCATATTTTCAAAACATCTCTTTGAATTTCAGACTCCACTGAGGTATACAAAGACATTGTTGCTTCCAGTTGTTCTGGTTGTGTTTATTGCAATCGTTAAAAAGGTAGGTCTGTCAGATGAGATCGGGCACGTTCAGGGTGGTATGACCGTAGAGAAAAATGAAGGGGGGACATCGGAGGGAGAGATGAACCCTGAGAGACTATGGACTCTGAGAAACAAACTGAGGGTTTTAGACGGGAAGGGGTTGGGGGGATGGGTTAGTCTGGTGATGGGTATTAAGGAGGGCACGTACTGCATGGAGCACTGGGTGTTATACGGAAACAATGAATCGTGGATCACTACATCAAAAACTAACGATGTATTGTATGGTGACTAACATAATAAAATAAAATTTAAGAAAAGGTAGGTCTGTCACTTAAGAGCTCTTTCTTTTTTTTTTTAATTAATTTATTTAGAGAGTGGGCTAGAGGGGAGGGGCAGAGGGAGAGAGAGAGAATCTCAAGCGGACTCCCACTGAGTGCAGAGCTGGATGCAGGGCTCGATTTCATGACCCTGAGGTCATGGCCTGAGCCAAAACCAAAATGCTCAACCGACTGAGCCATCCAGGTGCCCCCTTTAAGAGCTCTTTTTTTTTTAAATTTAATTTTATTATGTCTCCCCCTCCGATTTCTCCCCCTTCATTTCCCCTTCCTACTATCTTTAAGAGCTCTTTCTTATAATAAAGCACTTTCTTGTTTCTACCTAGTAGTTAAGTATATTAAGTTACATGTTAATCTGACACAATGTTTTATATAGATTTGTTGAAACATATTCTGTATTTTCTTACTCCTAGCCCTTGATGAACATTTACAAGCCTTAAAAAATTCTACTATCTGCCAGCATAAAATAGACCTAGGAAAAGGCTCGAGTTTTGGTAGTCATGTATTTTTGAAAGACATGATCAAAGAGACCATATTGACCCAGATACAGTTATTTTTGTCTTTGTAAACTATTACTGACTGACTTTTAGCTTTATGTAATATTTCACTAAAATATTTAATATATGCCATTCTAAGTCATCTGTGCATTGCTCACAAACTCCTGGATCGAGTTTATTGTTATTGATCAAAAAAATAGAATATTAATAATGTATTACCAACATCGATAAAATTGTTAGACTCCCAACTTGGCTTTGATAATGAAATTCTAAGCCCAGATTTAAATCAGGTCAGGGAAGTTCCAGTCTTTAGCAAAGAGCAAGTATGATATTCTCTTTTTTCTTTTAACAGTTGGTGAATTCTGTAACTGCAAGTGTTTTAAGAGAATGAATAAAGATTAATCTATAATCAAAAACCAGATGATAGACCCTAAAGGTTTTCTGATTTGTAGTTAGTAATTTCTGTGTTAACACAGTGTTATATATTTGTAGAATATTCTGTACTGTAATTATTGTTCACATTATATATTTGTACTCTCCCTGAACATATCATATGTGTTATTGCACCTGCTTATTCGACAGCCCTGTAGGGGATATTATTATCTCCATTTTGACAGATGCAGCTTTAGAAGATCAGAGAGGTTGTTGCCAGCCTCACATCATGTCCATTAAAAAGCAAGGGAATAGCAAGAATCAAACTCGGCACCTTTCCCCCCTTATTGGGTGTTGTGTCATGTTCAGCTTTGTAGTCCCACAAGCTTTTCAAATCTAATGAGTTTTAGTCAGTCAGTTTCTGCTCTGTGCCAGACTCTGTGCTTCCTTTGCCTTTTGCATACTTTATGTGGGTGTGCACCCAGTAGGTAATCAAAGAATACCAACGTTGGCAATTCAGAATGCATTAAAAAGACAGCAACCTGGATGGCTAGAGATGATGAAAACAATTACATCAGGTTAAAAAAGCTGAGATGTTTGATTTAAAGAAGGAGGATTCAAAGGGAGAACGGATAACTATTTTCAAATATTTAAAAGCCTGCCACTTGGAAATAAGATTACACTCATTTTGGCTCCTTAGAATCATGGCCAATTCTAGGGGGAAGGATTTTTGACCAGAATTGATCTAGACTGACTAGGAAAGTGTTACAGACTCAAGCAGCAGTTGGGTGGTTCTTCTAAGAGCTGGATGAAAACCTGTCAGCAGTATTATAGAGGACACCCACACTGGGGATAGGATTCAGATTAGATGACCTTCCAGTTGCTGCTAAATATGCACACTCAGTGTATGGTTAGTTGTACTTATCAGTCTCTGAGCTCTTTGTCCCGATATGTGTATATATGATTAAGGAGCGGCATTGCCAACAACCTTGGCATGGTGGAATTCTGAATGTGAATTGGAAGCCAGAAAGAAGGTCAGGTTGCAGGGCTTAGCAATGCCTCCTGGTTGTTGTCCACCTTCTGGGAGATCATTTAATCCATCTGAGCCTGTTGCTCATTTACAAAATGAGGATAATACAATCTACAGTACAGGGCTGTTGGGTATTAGATATGGTCAAGTACTGTATAAATGGAAGAGTATGGTGTTATAATTATTTCCTGAGTTATCTCTTAGCTCCATACTTCTTATATTTTAAGTAGAAGTTTGAAAGTTTAGAAGATACTTTAGTTGAAATTTTGTTTTTCCCAACACAGCTCTTCTAAAGTGTTAAAAAATCTATTTGCAGATTATTAGTGACATGTGGGGTGTCTTAACTAAACAACAGGCACATATAAGGTAAATATGCTATTAATCATTTTGTTACATTATTAAGTAGATATTTACGATGTATTTTTATAGTTCATGTTGCACTCAACATTTGATAACTGGTGTTTTCGATTGTCATTCCTCTTTGCTTTTCTCATTATTCCCTATCTGTGCAGAGCTCAGAGCATCACTTATTCGTACTTCGAATTCCATGCATACACTCCTACGGTAGGCCTACACATAATCTATATGTGAAGGACACAGCTTTGTGCTTCAGTTTAGCAGGGAAAATAAATTATTCTGTTGATGGTTTTAGGACCAATGGACTGTCTTTTGAGAGAAGAGCAGGAAAATATAAAACTGAGTCCATACTTCATGTTTTACACAAACTAAATTTCAGATGGAGCAAAGATTTAAATGTAGGAAAAAAATAAAACCCCAATATTAACCAAGAGATTATTTTTAGAATTTTAGCATTAGAGAGGCCTTGTTAAGTATGACATAAAACCTGTAAGCTAGAAGGAAAGATTGAAAAGGCTGACCAGATAAATATTTTGGTTTGATAAGATACTGTGAACATTGTTCAAAGAAAAAGACAAATTGGGGAAAATATTCACAGTATACGACAACGGACTAATGACTGGCATACATAAATAACTTCTACAAATTAATAGGAAAAATGCTAAAACCCCATTAGAAAAATGAGTGAAGGACACAAAGAGGCAACTGAGAGAAAAATAAATTCTCATTTTTCTCTTTTCTGCTACACTCACGTCCCATGGACCTGCTTTCTGCTCTTTAACCAGGGCGGCTTGTTTCCTGCCTCTGCAGTTTTGCCCTGGTTGTGCCCTCCGCTCCCCACAGCCTGGCTCTGCATGTGGCCCACTCCTTTAATTCTTGTTTAAACATCACCTCCTTCAAGAAGGCTTTCCTGACCATCACTTCTGAGCAGATTCCTTGTCTCCTTGCTTGTTATTCCCCGTTATCTCATGCTTTATCTTCTCTCTCAGCATTTATCACCCTTTATACTTGAACACTGGTGTGCTGCCTGTCTCCTGTGGCACGGCTGTTCTCCCCCACCTCTCTCTTCTCTAGTCTTGCTGTCTTTGGAGTTAGCCCATTAAGGACCTTCCTGCTATGGGTCTCTGTATGGTCTTTCTCTCTGCCTGAGGGATGCTCAACTTCAACTCTCCACTCCTTCCAGCCTTGCTCACATGTCACTCAATTGGTGACCACATGGATTGACGTACACCTTCCCGGTCACCCAGCATTCCTGGCACCTTTTGCCCTGCTTCCTTTCTCTCCACAGTACTTATCACCATGTGTCTTTTGCTCATTTGCTTTTTGTTTGTCTCCCTTGACTTATATGTAAGCTCTGTGAGGGCAAAGGTATTTTCCTGTCTTATTTCCTGCTGTATCTGCAGTGTTCTCAGTGCTCAATGAAACTGGCGATGGGTGGGTTTGTACCCTGTAGTCCCGAGGGGTTCATTTTGGTAGGGTGAGACAGGTGGTAATCAGGAAACCAGTGAACGAACACCTTTGAGGAGATAAAACAGGGAAATGGAGTAGGAGTGATTATGGAGAGGGGCACTGAATATGGGAGTCTCTCTGATGTTTGAGGGAGTAAGATTAGTCTTGTGTGACTGGAGCATGGTGACCAAGAGGGAATGCGGTAGACAGTGAGTTTCAAGAACGAGAAGTAGGAAGAACATGTGTGGCGTGGTAAGGATTTGAGAGTTTATTCTTATTACAAAAGGAATCCACTGGAGGGTTTTAAGTAAGGAATTGGCATGACTAGATTACCATTTTCAAAAAATTGCTGGCACCACTGTGATGATAATCGAAATGGGATGGCAGGGAAGGGGTGGTGTGGGGTCAGAGGGAGATGTAGGGAGGGTATATGGGCCTTTAAGCATGTATCCTTTCTCAGGAAATTAAAACTGTCAAGCAAAACTAAAGTGGCTATTTGTATATTCCATAGCCGCTGCTGAAAACATCTTTTATGTGTGGTTTCCTAAATGATCTCTGTAGCATCTGCAGTTTATGGGGGAGCTCAGGGACCACTGGTGATGAGAAGCAGGGGTATGGAAGTATGAAGCCTTCAGGCTTCCCTTCACTCCCTGCTTTGCCAGAATATCCCCAGGGAGGTATCTCATACACCACAGTGTGCCTTTTGTTGAGCCAGCAATTATCCATGTAGTCAAATGTGCAGGGTATGCAACATTGTCATTAAAAAAAAAAAAAAAAATCAACTGTCTTTTAAAACATTGTGGCACCAGTTTCAGTTCATAACTGTTAGTTATTTTTATTTACATATATGTGTCCTTGGAATATTATACAAGTTGTAAAACTCATATTTGTAAGATAATGCAACTAGTTGAAGTAAGTGCTTCAGTAATGATTCAATAGTAGTATTTCTTATTCCATTTCAGAAAACACCAGTTTGATCATGGAGAGGTAAAGACTCAATATTACTAAAATTTTGTGTATATTTGGACTTTTTCTTTCTAGTTCCAGTTTTTAAGTATTGGTAATTGTCACTCATCATCTTCAAAATAGGTCTGTGTGTGTTTTTATGAGACTGTTACAAACACGACCATTCATTTGTTAAAACAGTTAAGTAGGAAGCCCATTTGGTCTGCTCTGATCATCCTCAGGATGATCTGGTTTATTGTGTGAATGGTTGCTGCTTCCCTCTCTTGGTGATGCCACCTGTTTTTCTTCCTTCCTTTCCCTTTCCCTTTCCCTTTCCCTTTCCCTTCCCCTTCCCCTTTCCCTTTCCCTTCCCCTTCCCCTCTGTTCCCTTCCTATTCTTTCTCTTTCTTTTAAACTTAAATTCAATTAATTAACATGTAGTGTGCTTTCTTTTAAACTTAAATTCAATTAATTAACATGTAGTGTGTTATTAGTTTCAGAGGTAGAGTTCAGTGATTTATCAGTCTTATTCCCTATAGG